CGTTCCGCAAAAGTAAATTTGATAGAAATTTTATCGAAAAAGTGCGCGAAACGTAATTAATGAAGCCCGTTTATTCGTCGAAACTTTTAATTCACCTCTCTCCCCTGCCCMCCTCTGCCACCCCCCCCCCTTGCCCCTCGTCGTCGTCCGTCGGTGGTTGAGCTCGGCGTGCAACCCTGCTTTGCACCGGGAGACCAGTTTCACGTTTATTCGATGGCCCCGTGAACGTCCGACCAAAAAACAAGCTGTTCTCCCAATAAACGGGTATGAAATTACACGTAATTGCTTGCACCCCGACCTCTGTTTCTCTCTCTCTCCCTCTCTCTCTTTTTCTTTTTTTTTTATTTTTGTCGCATACACATAGCCTTGTACGATGGTGTGTATCTGCGTATACACATGTACACCACCTACCTATTATTGTTTTGGTCACGCGATCGAAGTTACCCCCTTCTATAACAAAGTACTTTTGCGTATGGCACACGTTTGCAGACGGTGTCACGATCTTTTTCCCGTAATACAGACATTAGAATGAGTAAGAGAAAGAAAAGGAGAGAAAGAGAGGAGAGAGAGAGAGAGAGAGAGAGAAAGAGAGATTTTCCTTTGAATGATTAAGAAAGAACAAAAATAGTATGGAAGAAATGAAGTGATAATCTTTGAGAAAGTATTTTATATTAAAAGAAATTGTAATATATGATTGAGATAGGGTGAAAAAATTTCTTTTTTTCTTTTTTATTACATTAGAATAAAACAAGAAAAGAAATTAACGAATTGAAGGTAAAGATTTTAAACAATCTCGCTTACGAATCAATTTATTTAAAATGAAACTCCTCGTAAGAACTCTCGAGAAAGCAACATTACATCTCTCTCTCTCTCTCTCTCTCTCCCTCTCCCTCTCTCTCTCTCTCTTAATATTTTTATTCAAATCAGGGCTAAATAAAAACCTTTAAGCATAAAGCTTAACGTTAATTTACATTAAGATAATGTAACAACGTAGTAATATGCATTAATAATAATAAAAAAAGGAGAAAAAAAAAAGAAAAAGCACGAAAAAGAAACACGAGAGAAAAAGAGAGAGAGAGAGAGAGAGAGAGAGTATGAAAGGAAAAATTAAAAATAAAAAAAGGAACTAATCTCAAACGGTGGACTTGGCGTTTTGCATTTTAACGAGTTCTCGGCTTGTGAGTAAAATTATTCACACACACAAACACACACACACACGTGTTTAACGGAGAAAGAGGAAAAACATACGCCATAGAAGAAAGTAGAAAGAGAAGAGAAGAGAAGAGAGTGAGAAAGATAGAGTGGGGGAAAAAGAGTTTAGTTTAATCGTCCAAACGATGCCGATAATTACCGTATAAACCGAAAGAAATTAATCAAGACGTAAAAGGAACACCTGTTCTCCAATTATCCTAATGATTCAATCGTGTACTCTTTTGCTGCCTTCTCAAAAAGGTGATCCGTCTTACTTGACGATATTAGATTGGTTAACTTCGTTTTAAGATAAAGTTCCTTAAAAGAAGATAAAAAGACAAAGACATATACACACACATCCACACACACATAGAAAGAAAATAAATAAGAAAGAAAAAGAGAAGATGATGAAAAATAAGAAGAAGAAGAAGAAGAAGAAGATGAAGATGAAGATGATGAAAAAGAAAGCAGATGATGAAGGCACGATCCATTAGTAGGCACGTCAATTCGCTCTTAAGAAGCGACTGACTTAAAGCCGCTTCTATCTAATTCTTTTTTTTTCTTGTCTTTTTTTTAATCATGTATATATATATATCTTTCTCGCTCTTTCTTTATATTTTTTTTTAATCTTTCTAAACCGTTCTCCTCCGTACTTATTAGCAGAGACTGCGCTGCTCGGCTTTTACCTTTCCTTCTCGCACGCGGTATCTTAATTAATGATAATTCGATTAGCCGGACAAGATTGAACCACGACTAAGCAGACTCTTCCAAAGTTATTCTTCTTCCTATTTTTTAATATCTTCTTTTTTGTTGTTTTTGGTTTTTACATTTTATTTTCATTCCTTTTTTTCACACATTGTCTTTTGAAATAATATTTATTTTTTATTTTGTTCAATTCATCCGCTCATCCCACTCATTCTCCCACTTCCCAAAATATCGATCTTTATTTATTGTTCTTTTTCTTTTAATTGCATTTTTATTCCTTGTCTTTTCCCAAATATTTGGTTTGCGTTCAATTCATTCCTTTCAAAAATATCATCCCTTCGTTTATTATTTTCTCTTTATTATTATTTCTTTCATTTTTCTTTTCGATCAATTTGTTTGTTCTCTTTTGCGCATCGTATTCGTATTATTTTTTCCTATTCTTTTTTAATTATTATTCCTTTTGTTTTTTAGTTTCTTATCAAGAATCAGCTACCACGAGTAGTAGTTTCCTTTTGTCATCTCAACAGATGATATCTCGATCTGACATCGGCGATTAAGAAGCAATTAACGTCAACCTTTGCCAAAAATCACGCGTCACCCTTCTCTCTCTCTCTCACACACACACACACACACACACACTCTCTCTTTCTCTCTTTCACACCCAGTCCCATCCTCCTTCTTCTTCTCTTTCTCTTTTCATCGTACACAACTTATGTGAGATTAATTGGATTGATATTGAAATTTATTTCTCGATGTAACCTTCTACCGATGATCTAACTTCAATCATGTTCAACCATAACGATCTCACCATGAAAACTATCGAAGAACAAATTTGTTTTCTTTTCATTTAATTATTAGGTATCTCAATTTTATCTCCTTTTCTTTTTCTATTTTTTTTTCTCTTTATAATTTTTATCTAATAATTATTTTCATTTATATTTGCCTATTAAAAGAAACGCCCACGTGTTCCGGTACGATTTCGATTTATCCCCATCCCATCCCATAATCGTTTTATTTCATTAAGTTTATTAACTCTCGTGAATATTGTAATTTTTTTTCTTATTATTTGATTTGCGCGAATAAAAGAAAAGTCCCCACTGGTCTCGTACGGTTTCGATTATGTGATTTTTGTTATTTCCCCATAACTGTTTTACTTTTATTAGCCCCTAAACTCGTCATCGTTTCTATCCGTCTCTTTCTTTCTCAATTCACCCTCGTGGTCTTCTCTCTCCCTCTCTCTCTCTCTTTCTCTTTCGATAACGGTAGTAGCACCCGTACGAAATTGTTTTGTCGATTCTGACCTTTCCACCGAAAGTGTTGCGTCGATACGTGCACCTGCACGAAACGCGAACGCGGTAGGTAGAATGACACGAAAACGACGCTCGTTTTCATTGCTCGAAGGATAAATTCGACCTTCCCGACGAAAGTGTGCCTCGAAATTGGAATTATTGGATATACGTTTACTCGATGACCGACATATATATGTGGATGTGTGTTTCTAGGTGCATGTGTGTGTGTGTGTGTGTTTATATACACCCATATCTATCTATTTACATTAATAATATTTATGTGAGTTAATAGTTACGTCATTTAATCATCGATTATCTAATCGCTTAAATCGATCTTATTTAATGTCATTTCGTATTAATTTATTTGACAAATTTTTATGGTAAATTTTGTAATAATATACGTCATACATTTAATATTATCTTTTAAGTTAAAATTATTTAACTTATCTCTCTGAAACAAGTGTATTTTATTACTTGTAATATGTGTGTAAGAAAAAAATATATATTAAATATATTTTTCAAATAAAAATATATCTTAGAGTAAATGTAAGGATAATCTAACCGTGTATATATTGCAACTTTCCACAAAAAATATAGAAAATAAATTTAAAAAATTGGTTTAATTAAAAAATTAAATTGAAACAATTTACGCGCGCGTTTAATTACGATTTGCAATATACCTAAATAATCCAACAAAAAAAAATTCGTTTAAATGTTTTAAAAATAAAATGATATTCGAGTAAATCTACGTAAGTAAATTGGAAAATGAGAACATAAATTCAGATATGTGTGCACGTTGGTATATATAAACATACATTCACCGTATATAATTATGCATATGTATAGATAGATAGATATGGGAAAAAAAAAAGTCAGTGGGAAAGACTTTCTAAAGGGCTTCGGTTTGACTGTACTCGGACTGCGAATTAACGCGGCTGCCGTGTCGTCGGAGTTGAGATCGTCAACGATAATAACGATTTTCCAATTATACGCTAACATTACCGGCAAGCTATCCGTGCGACTTGAACGACAGAATACATACACACACACCCACACACCAACAAATACACAGGACGTATACACACATTTGCAAATAATCGGCAGACACGTATCTACGTAGCTTTTTTTAATGACATGTGATGATAGCCGTATAGTAAAAGCACACGCACGAGGCCAATCAATTTATGCTGACATCATTTTCAAATATTACATACAAATATTATATTGAATTTTCTATTCCATTTAAATCTTTATACGTTTTATGATAAAAATAAGAGAATGAATTATTTTCAAAGAGAAGAAAAAATAACTCGTTCTCTAATGGCTAACGAGCGTGCACCGTCGGACCATTCAAACGATAATACCGTCCTACCTAAATAACCCTAATTCATTCTAATTTCAGATAAATATGATCCTTTTACAAATAATACAATGTTTTAATCTGATTTAGAATAAATGACCCATTTGAAATAATTAATACGATATAATATAATATATCAACGATATTATCAATATATCTTCATAAAAAAAGAAAACCATTATACAAATATCGATTAAACATATTAAACCTGTATAATAATAATTATCAAATTAAATATATAACGCAACTTAAGTCTTAATACATTTTTAAATAAAATAATAATATAGAGAGTACATAAAAAAAAAATTCTCGATATAAATAGGAAAAATATTTCTAAAAAACAGTAATAGATTTTAAAAAATATTTTGGAAAATATATTATAAAAGAAATGTATGTATGTTTGTGTGTGCATGTGCATGTGCATGTGTATACGTATGTGATAAACAAAGGAGTACCAGCGTTCTCCTGAGTCTCGCGATTATTGTCTTCCATCTCTTGATGATTCCTTTTGTGATTAGCCAGGCCAAGTATGGCATCGATGCTGTGTCGTGGGGTGCTGCTGGTTGGTTTTGGCAGGACAAGGTCCTGACTGTTTTGCGAGCTCGTTTCAACGAGCTGCTGCGAATCCATCGCCGTGTTAAATCTGACAAATCCGAAGAAGAAGACGACGGAATGATGATGTCACTGGATTTATCGTGAACGTTTTTTTTGATTATATTTTGATTTGATCTTTTATCCGTCCGATTGGACGAGAAGTTCACTTTCCGAGTACGAGTTAACACACGTTTTAGCGTAGAAAACAACGAGAGGACATTTTTTTTTGTTTGTTCCTCGACGCGCGAAACAACGCGTGTTTATTTTCTTAGTATTTCTCTTCTTTTTTTTTTATTTCTTTTTGCCCAATCGTTTTTCTCACACGTTACGAATTTTTAAGGCCACTCGTAAGCAACTAAACGATTATTATAATTTAAACTATATCAACAAATTTAATTTCAAAAGTCACGAGAATAATTAATTATTTCACTGTCCGAAATATCACTTTTTTATTTCCTTTTTTTTTCTTTTACGTAGAAATCAAATGTCAACGAATTATTTTCACGATGACATTTTCGTGGAATAACGCACCGTTACACGGATCTCGTCATATTTTTTAATAACACCGCACCAAAACAAGCAAAACAAAAAAAAAAAACCAAAACCAGACAAACTAGATCGACGATGATCACCCCCTTATCTCTCTCTCTCTCTCTCTCTCTCTCTTTGTCTCTCTCTCTCTCTCTCTCGAAGAATAAAATATACTCTTTCCTCTTCTTCTTATCTCTAATGTTTCTTGCACGATCAACAATATTTTTAAGTAGAATCCTTTCCTGACGTGTCAAACCTCTTGAAGAAAAAACACTAGCTTGAAATATTAAACTTGGCTCGATTAAATCACTTACTTTGTATAGTTATTTAGTCAAAGCGGTTAGATCTTGACACGAGTTAGGTGAAAATTGTAATGATCTTTGGTTTGATAGATTGTAATTTTTGTCTTCTGTTTCTATCAGTTCTCTCTCTTTCTCTCTTTATCTATTTCTGTTTGCCTCTCTTTCTCCCTCTTGTTCTCTCTCTCTCTCTCTCTCTTTCTCTCTTTATCTGAGTGTGTATGTCTGTCTCTCTTTAACCCAAAATACGTAATGTCGTATGTAAGGGGTCGAAGGTTTGAGAAGTGAGAGAACGTGCGTCCTACTCGAGGACTAGCCGGCCGTCGTCTAGCGGGGTGGCCTTTGTTGCAGCTGCACACAACTACTCTTAGTCGAGAGAGCCACGATAGATAGATAGAACCGTGAGGGAAGAAAGAGGAGGAGGGGAGGTGGATCCTGGAGTTAAACGTAATGGGCGTGGTTTCGATCGGCCAATGGTAAGAAAGCCCGAGGTTGTTTCTAACCAATGGCAGGAGAGATCGACGAACATGGCGAGTCAGTGGTGCTCAATCCCACTCTTACATTTTATTCTTTACCCAACCCCCAATCTGATATTCTAACACGGTGGGGAGAGTTTTCGGCTTGCGTTAGACTCCGAAAGGGGTGGAATGGTCGAACGACGAGTTTTCTTCTGGCTTCTGTGACAACCTACGTGCGTTTCCACTCTCTCTATGTGTGTGTGTATGTGTATGTGTATGTATGTATGTATGCATGTGTGTAGATCTTTAGTAGACTGTGTGTATATTTGTGTAAGAGAGGTGGGAAGAGGGAAGGGTTCTAGATGTGCGCAAAAGCGAACGTACCGAGGGCTGGTTCTCACCGATATACAAATGTTCTCAACATACGCACCTATACACCTTAATATACTTACTTGTACACATACCCATATGTATATATATATATAAATATATATATCTACTTACACAGGTTTAGAACGAGTGAGACGAAATACGCGTAGACACAGAGTGTACAGAGGGTGCCCGGTGTGGGTTGATTCTTGCGGCGGATTCTGGCATCCCCTGTAATTGCCAGAAATGAGGTAAAGCTTACCGCTTACGCCGAGCCTTCCATGCTTCTGTGTATGTGCTTCATACATTTCACTGACTTCGGACTACCTTAGACGTAGATTCCTATTAATGTTCTATATATCTTTTACGATGATATCGTTTTAAAAGATTATTCATATAATCATCGATTATATTTTATTATTTTTATATACGAGCACGTCTAACGAGAACTATTTGATAAAGCAACAAAAAGTTCCTTCTATCGTTAACAGAAATTACTTTCTAACGAAGTTTCGATCGATCCTTCGAAATTAATATAAATGAATTTGTTTGAATAAGAATATTAAACGATTCATATATTATTTTTATTTCAATTTAATGGGAAAGCGAGAAAGAGATTAACGTTCGAATTTGTACATACCTTTTTATCTTGAATTTACAATGGAAAGAACTTTTGTTACCCAACGAGAGTGAAAGAGAGAGAAATAGAGAGAGAGAGAGAGAGAGAGAGAGAGKGGGGGATGAAAAAACAAGAAAGAAGAAGAAGAAGAAGAAAGAAAAAAAAAAAAGAGGAAACGAGTGGATAACAGATTTTTATCCGCGCAGAACGTTCCTTTCATGAGTTTTCTGGATTTGCCTGGTGACAAAGCAGCAAAAAGCGGGAACGCTTTTCCGGTTAGCAGAACTGGCGCGCGTCGGGCTTGGAAATTGTTTCTTTTCCATTCCCGTAGACCAAAAACCAACGAGAGGACACAAAATAAATCCCTGTTTCCCATTCCACGCTCGATTCCGCGTATCGTCGTTACCATTTGGCGTTTTAGCCTGGGGGGAAGTGTACGCCCACAAAACCGCGCGACAAAAGATATCCGCCTCTAGCGAAACACACAGTAGCTTGCTCAAAATCGATCTAACTATATTGAGCTAAATTATACGTTGCGGATGAATTCACGTTTCGGCCGTTAGAGAAAAAGAACTTTCCCTATTTCCTATGGATTTCTATTACTTTGTATACAGTTTCTAATATCAAAGATACCTTACGTAGATCAATTTCTTTTGTTGATTTATATTTTGAAATAAAGATTCTCTTATGTTAGTTGTGTATTTCATGTTATTATATATTTATATTCCGGAATATACTGAAATAAAACTTTTTTTTTGCTTTTTATTTTATTTCTTTCTTGTTTAATATATATATATATTTAAATATTATTAGGATTAGTTATAGTGGTAATAAGAAATAAATTTTTAAATATACTTTTTTTGAAGTGTCATAAAAATTTTTTAAGTATTACGGGAATAAGATAAATGTGCTTGAATCTAATCTTAATTGAAAATATTTTTCAAATTGAAATTATACAAGAATTAGGGATAGTATAAAAAGTAAAATTAGAAATTACAGGAAACGTATGGGTAAAAAAATATGTTTTCTTTTGATTTAAATATATTTTGAACCGGATGATGTATTTAATAATAGGAGAAAGGATCGTGACACGTGTAGTTAGAACGAGAGAGAGAGAGAGAGAGAGAGAGAGATAGATAGAGAGAGAGGGGAGTAAGGGATAAAATCTCGGTAAAGGGTCTCTCTCGAAGGACAACAATGTTCCCACGAGCGTGCCGTGTCACATAGAATTTACTTATCTCTGCTCTTCGCGAATATTCCGAAGAGTCGATGAGTCCTCGACAACGCCATTTTCCACCCCGCCCAAATCTCGGCCACCAATCTTGTTCCTGGCTCCAACGTAGAAAAACAGACGGAGATAGACAAAAAGATAGATAGAGAAAGTAGAGTAGCTCTCTGGAGAAAAAGCTTTTAAGTCCCTCGTGGAAATCAGATCAGAGTTGCATTTAACCGGATCCCACTTACAGCGATAAATATCTGACAAAGAAGAAATGAATGAGAAAGAAAGAGATAGTAAGAGAAGAAAGAATTAGGAACCAACGGTATTAGATCAACCACATTTATTTTCTAACCTTGGCTCTTCGTTCTATACCTATCCCTTCGGCACTTTACCTCCAGTTTTAGCTAATTTAAACCCCCAGTGTTTGATCTTTCTAAACTTTTAACAGGACGTTCTTTCATTCTTTTTTCTTCTATTTCTTTATCTCTTCCTCTCTCTCTCTCTCTCTCTTTCTCTCTTTCATTTTCTTTTTTCTCGTCTCTCAAGTGGCTCGATGGATTACTAACCAGACGGTGAAAAACTCAGGTAGCTACGACGGTTAAACGGTTTCGACCTACCTCCTCCTATTTGAAGCAAAAAATGTGTGCGTATCTCCAAACGGATAACCGAAACTCTCTTTTAAGCCATTTTTCTGGGAGCCCTATAACTCGCGAGCCTATACTTTGAGGGTAAAATGATGTTTCCATTTTGTGCTCGAAGGTAAGCTGTAATTATGGCAACGATATACTAATGAGAGTAGAGGAAACGTTTTTGTTTCCTTTTAAAAGTGCACTCGAGTTGTTTTTGACGAGTCACGACGAATCTGATCGTGGGTATATTTATTGGATTTTTATTGAATAATTTTCTGTCAGAACGATCAAATAAAAAAAAAAAAGAAAAAAAAGAAACAGAACGGTGAAAGTAAAAAATTGCATTATGCGTGCCAACACATATTTTACTTTCATATTTTTTATTTATCTTTCGTTTTTATTTTATTTTATTTTATTTTATTTTTAATTTACGTCGTCGAGAAATTAAGTCGACGATGAAATCATAAATTTAGTCTGTTATTGATTAGATTGATATATTTACAAAATTAGTGGTTGCTATTTTGAATTAAAAAATTATGCTCCATAGTTGTAATAAGATTAACTACGATTCACAATTTTTAATTACAAATACTGCAAAATTATTATTTATATTTAAATAATAATGCGTTGATTTATATCAAATGTGAAATATGTAAACGTAAGTGATTAATTTATTTGTCAAAAAGTAAGTAACGTAAAACATCGTTTCGATTGATCAAGAAAAGAATAAGAAACGTGAAACATCTAACATAAGTAAGTAAGTAAGTAAGATATTTTTATCCAATCGAGGGATCTTAGGTGAAACCTAAGTAAGAATTCTATGACAATATAAAGTGAGCATTGAGCGCGGCAAATCGGCAAACAAAATGATAGATCCGATCTCTCGATCGTCGTGAAACGTATGTTTGAAAATCGTTCTAGCAAAACGGAGCGGATTCTCGACTTCATTGTAAACACATTGTCGGTCTTTAAGGTCCTCGGCCGATCGTCCGTTCACAACAATGGCGCGTGTCTTGCCCGTCGAAAGGAGCAACGTTATTTTTCTCTATCTTTTTCTTTCGAGAAAAAAAGAGAGAGAGAGAGAGAGAGAGAGAAATAAAACGTATGCGAAAAATCTGACACGAGCCGGCACGAATAAAAGCACCGTCTACAACAATATATATAAAAAAAAAAAAAAAAAAAGGAAGAAAACTAGAGTACAGTATTCTCTTCTTAGAGTTGATCATGAGAAAATCTATTAGAAAATGAAGAAGGAAAAGCAGCTGCGTGTACGAGATAGACTTGTGGACCCTAAGATGACCGAGATAAGTCTAATTTCGTTGTGTCGACCATTGAGAAAGTTTCGTTCGAGAATCAGGAGTTTAATCCGCTTCAATTTTACCCCAATGAACGATTCGTTTTATCTGCGGAAAAAAGAAAGAAAGAAAAAAAATGAAAGAAAGAGAGAGAGAGAGAGAGATAGATAGAGGGGTAGGAAGAACATTTTTCTCTTCGTTTATTTTCGAAGAGGTGCGAACAAGAAGAAGAAGAAGAAGAAGAAGAAGAAACCAGTGCAGTGCATC